GCGGCTTTCTAGGCCCTGGGACTTCCCAGGAGGTTTGGAGGTTTACAGACCACGCACCTGTAACCCAGGGTGGGGTCGTTGCTTCATCTCTTTCTGTAAGTGCGCCCTCGAGGGCGCGAAGTCATTCGCGCTGCGCGGTTCGGCTCCGATTCCTCCTCACCCTCCACTTCTCCCCTGGGAGGCGGCGCAGGAGCGCGAAGCTGTTCGCACCTCGCGCTCTCGCGCAGCGCGGAGCGCGAAGTTGGGAGTCCTTGTGACAGTGCCGTTTTTTTTATACATGCTCCGCGTGCGGATCATGTATTAAAATGCAGGGATTTGGTATTAAAAACAACGAGGAGTTCACGCATACATTTGTTCATAAATTAGAAATCATATATTTTCAAATCCTATGTATTAAAAGCTGCCCTGTATGCTCGTCTTGGAGGTTTTCCTCTGTCCCCAAGCTCCCGGGGCCCTGCGTGCGCCCAGGGGCCGCGACGGGTCGCGAGAGGGGGAGCTGGCCCTGGGGGCCGTGGCCCCTTCGGCCCGGCGCCCCACTCTCCTGCTAGGGTTAAGTCGGGCCTGTCCCCCTACAAGGGGATGTTCGACGACAAATAGAAAATACCCCAAAAATAATTTAAAAAATATTCCAAAGATAGTCTGAGTGTTATTTTTTGAATATTTTTCGCCATTTTGGTGCATTTTCTGGGTATTTGCTATTTTTCGTCGAAAATCCCCCTGTAGGGGGACACGCCCGACATAAGATAGAGAGCGCGCGTGGGGCCCGATAGACTAAAAGGGGGGCCCCAGCTTGAAGCTACCCCCCTCCCCCCTTCCTTGCTAAAGGGGGGGGGGCTTCGGAAGCCCCCCCCCCTCCCCTCCTTTTCGTGGTTCGGAAAGGGGGGGGGGCTTCCAAGCTACCCCCCCCTCCCTCCCTCTAGTTGAGCCGGGGTGAGCCACCCCCCCCCTTTGAAAGGGGGGGTGGTGCTTCGGAAGCTACCCCCCCCTCCCTTTTCCTGGCCGGAAAGGGGGGAGGGGGCTTCCAAGCTA